CAAGGCATGCAATGCTATGTGATTCATTTATAAAAGTTCCTCCTGACATATAGCCAGGCATATGCTGTTCTGACAGCACTAACAGCACATTTTCTATACTTGTCAGGATTTTCTAGGGGCGCTAGTGCCATGATGTGTACAGGAATTTTCTATACTCGTCAGTACCCTATAGGGGAGCTTGTGCCGTGATGAGTATAGAAATTTTCTATATTCTAGGGGCGCTAGTACCGTGATGAGCATAGGAATTTTCTATACTCGTTAGTACCATCTAGGGGCGCTACTGCCGTGATGAGTATAGTCATTATCTATACTCATCAGTACCATCTAGGAGTGCTAGTGCCGTGATGAGAATATGAATTTTCTATACTCGTTAGTGCAACCTGGGGGCGCTACTACCGTGATGAGTATAGGAATTTTCTATACTCGTCAGTACCATCTAGAAGTGCTAGTTCCGTGATGAGCATAGGAATTTTCTATACTCCTTAGTACCATCTAAGGGCGCTAGTGCCGTGACGAGAATAGGAATTTTCTATACTGGTCAGAACCATCTAGGGGCGCTAGTGCAGTGATGAGAATAGGAATTTTCTATACTTGTTAGTACCATCTAGGGGCGCTACTGCCGTGATGAGTATAGGAATTTTCTATTCGCGTCAGTACCATCTAGGAGTGCTAGTGCCGTGATGAGAATAGGAATTTTCTATACTCGTTAGTACTATCTAAGGGCGCTAGTGCCGTGATGAGAATAGGAATTTTCTATACTCATCAGAACCATCTAGGGGCGCTATTGCCGTGATGAGTATAGGAATTTTCTATTCACATCAGTACCATCTAGGAGTGCTAGTGCCGTGATGAGTATAGGAATTTTCTATACTCGTTAGTACTATCTAAGGGCGCTAGTGCCGTGATGAGAATAGGAATTTTCTATACTGGTCAGAACCATCTAGGGGCGCTAGTGCAGTGATGAGAATAGGAATTTTCTATACTTGTTAGTACCATCTAGGGGCGCTACTGCCGTGATGAGTATAGGAATTTTCTATTCGCGTCAGTACCATCTAGGAGTGCTAGTGCCGTGATGAGAATAGGAATTTTCTATACTTGTTAGTACCATCTAGGGGCGCTACTGCCGTGATGAGTATAGGAATTTTCTATTCGCGTCAGTACCATCTAGGAGTGCTAGTGCCGTGATGACAATAGGAATGATCTATACTCATCAGAATCATCTGGGGGCGCTAGTGCCATGATGAGTATAGGAATTTTCTATACTCGTCAGTACCATCTAGGGGCACTAATGCAGTGCGAACAGAAGCTGCCTGGCTTCATGCCGGGTGCAACCTTTATAAATGAACCCCTATGTGTCTGCAATAAAACAAACGTACCTGCCTGTTTGCAATGCTTTTTAGAATGCACATTGACATGTTCTGTTGTCAATTTTAAAACCAGCTCCTTCAATTTTCAGATTGAAAGATATTGGGTGGGAGGTTGCCAGCAAAGCCACCAACACAGAGAACATTTTGTCTGGTTCATCAAAATCGTACAAAATTCCCGTTTATGGGAAAATTAGCTGCAGTCACTGTTTAGGTATTCTGGCGGAGGCACACCCATCACTTTTAGAACAAAATAGCTCAGCAGAAGGGATTCTTCCATTTACATTTAACATGGATGGGGAAATCTAGTGGGGCTTTTTTTTTCCTTCAGACCATCGGGGCTGAAGGCAAAAAAAAAGCAAATCCTGTATAACCATCTTTACTGGTTTTATATAGTATTTACATTGAGAATATTGAACATTTGAAATATAAATATTTAGGCTTTTATTAATGTTTTATTTATATTTTTTTCCAGCACATATTATGAAAATGCAGGCTTATTGATATTCTACATTTAATATATGTTTTCTCATTAGAATAAATATAATTTCTCTGGATAGTAGAAATATATATAAAATAATTATGGAAAAGGACTATAGTACTAGTAGATCTTTTAATGTTATTGTTTGACTAGTTGTACCAGTCCTGTCAGTTTCTGATTCCCAGAGGTGTCTGCACCCTGTATGAGAATCTGGGACTATTTACTCCACTTGTCATAGATATAGGAAACTGTTCTGATTTAAACCTATGGCTGGTCTTTGTGAATTCCCCTGACTGTGTCATTATAAGAGGAAGACAGAGAGGAAGAGCAGATCAAATAGTGATTGTGTATGGTGATATAGTATAGGGTATTGAGTTTTTACACTGATGGACACGTGTATAAAGAAGAAGGTTTTCGAAGAGCATAGAACAAAGTGTGTCTTCAGTCAGTTCACCCTCCCCTCTTCCTATCAGTCATCACAGCGGTGGAGGAAATGATGTGTGATTAGTAGTTAGCAGTGTCAGATGATGCTCTGGATGAAGGCACAGACATGCTTCCAGTTGAACTGTGCCTCCTGTAATCACATAGCTCGCTGTGTGTCCCCACAACCGATCGGCTATTTTCCTACCTGGTTGTTTATGTCATGCTAATTATGTCTTTCATCAGTGTTATTTTGTTATCAGCCCTACAAATACACGTCACTGAACCTCACGAGGCACGATCAGCGATCAGAGCATGCTGCCTTTGTAGAAGAAGACTAAGATGATTATTCATTCATTGGCCTCATCACAGGTGGAGAGTATGCTGGTAATTGTAGTGTCACACATGGGCAGCAGGTGCTCTAATGCAGCAAGCTAAGGAATCAACACCAAGAGGGCTCTTGTAGATGGCCAAAAATTTTAAATTCTGCCGTTTTTTTCGCACCATGGAACATCAGGTGATCTAATGCAGCGAGCTAAAGGATCATCACCATGAGGGCCCTTGTAGATGGCTGTACAATGTCAATTCCAGGATATTGTCTGTGCCATGGAGCCTCAGGTGCTCTAATGCAGCAAGCTAAGAGATCATCACCATGAGTGTTCTTGTAGATGGCTGTACAATGTAAATTCTGGCATACTTTCTGTGCCATGGAGTATCAAGTGCTCTAATGCAGCAAGCTAAGGGATCATCATGAGGGCTGTTGTAGTCAGCTGTACAATGTAAATTTTGGTGTATTTTCACTGCCACAGAGCATCAGGTGCTCTAATGCAGCACGCTAAGGGTTCATCACCCTAATGGGACAGATATACAATGTAAATTCCAGAGCATTTTTGCCACCATGGAGTATCAGGTGTTCTAATGAAATGAGCTAAGCGATCATCACAATAAAGTCTCTTGTACATGGCCGTACAATGTAAATTTCGTGAAGCCATGGAGCATCAGGTGCTGCGTACAGTCAATGGCTGTTCGCAGGTAAATACCAGATTTGCATAAACATGCGCATACTTTTGGGTGTACAACCTCTAATGAAGACTATCTGCATTTGGGCTTGTGCACCCATATGCATGTGCAAAACCAGTGTATATTTACAGCGGCTGTAGCACAGGCTGTACACAGCACCTTGGAATCCCTGGTGGCGGAAATATACCAGAATGTTCATTGTACAGCTACAGCCATGTACAAGAGCCCTAAACTGCAATTATTCCACATAGTTTTTATATGAGAAATATTGTATGCTGGTAGCTATCTGTGGTTAAAGGGTAAGTTAACTTTCTCACAAAAATGTTAAAAAATAAATTTACTGACAGCACCTTGCCACCTCCCACAGCCCCCGCTGCACTTACATGTCTAAAGTCCCCGAACAGACTTCCAAGCCCTGCAGTATGGAATATTCACAAATGGCAAGTGCTCATTGGTCAGCATGGTCACATGACGCTGACCAGTGAGAAGCCCTTCTTACTTACGGTGCTGGACTTCGTTAGAAAACAGTTGCAGGTGGCGTTGGCTGAACGCGCAGAGGCACAGTGATCGTTACGTGAGCTTCTTCAAACAGCTAATCTGGTCCAGAATTTTCACAGGCTATTTGCCTGTATTGCGCATGTATGGGCATGCCAGTGGGTCCAGAAAATTCACGGGCGAGGTGCCTGTAGCCACCTAAATTAATACATATTTTGTTTATAAGCAGAATTATAGATACAAGTACCACCAGTCAAATGGGGGGGGAGGGACATGATTTTGCACCACTTATTTCAGTAAAGCAACTGGACACAAAGGGGGTGGTTTATTAAAGGCAAATAGCCTTTTCACTTTGCAAGGGAAATTTCCCTTCGCTCAATGAATGAGGAGAAAATTACCTCTACAAAGAATACCCAATCGTATGCAAGGAAAATAAAACATAATTCTTACTTGCACATGATTGGATGATTGGATGATGGAAGTCAGCAGAGATTCACCACATTTACTGAGCTAAGTAAAAAATTCCCTTGCAAAGTGAACAGCCTTTAGTAAATCAACCCCATAGGAATAAATCTGGCCATAGCCTTATAAATCATTTGTTGATTGTACCTGGGCTAGTCCCTTGGCTTAATAGAAATTGGGACCTAGATGCTGATATTTATTACATTTCCATTTGTATGAACATAATTACCCAAAATGTGAACTAGAGAAAAATTTCACTGATTGCCTTAATCCTTTGCTCACCTGCTTCTTTAAATACATATGGGAGCAGCATCCTTGTTCCACCCTCGACATATATGGGCCATCAAGTAAAATTATGACCTTAGTAAATAAGGACTTTAGCCTTTGTTTTTCTTAAACGTATTGCATTGTTGCCATGTATGTACATATATATATATATATA